GAGGAGGCCTGGAGCAGAGACCTGAGGAAGAAGCCGCTGGCTTCTCGGCCTTGCACTTGTGCCAGGTCCTGGGGGACACGGAAGGGGACGCTTAGACCCCAGGCGTGGGTGACGCTCCGAGCGGCTGGCAGGTGCAGCCGTCACGTGACTTTGATTCTGTGTTCCCCATCGGGACTTGCCCAGCCCCCCTCCCCCTTCGCCGTGGTTCCCCCGGTGGTGCCGGAGGCTGCAGCGGGCAGCTTTGGGGGGCCGCCGAGGTCCTGCTTTGGGCCAAGGCTCTCTGGCTGGGCATTTGCCCATGAGAGGAGGGGTAGTATATGGGTGCATGCTTTGCAAGGCTTTCTCTCTGCTCTGTTGTGCACACCCATTGTCTCTGCAGCACACTAGCTGTGGTAACGCTCCTTTCCACTGCAGGTCTCACACACTACAGTGTGTTTCCTCTGGATGTGGCCGGTGGCAGAACTATTTAGATCTGGCAGGTTTGCAGGCCCTGGGAACCCCTCATCCTGCCCGTTAACAGGTAGCTCTTCTACCAAGAAACTGAGCTAAAAACTGCACTTGTCTCCCGTGTGGAGGGGAGTGTGGCCCGTTTCCCCGTTTCCCGCCTCCCGGCCCCACAAGCCACATGTGGACACAACATCGGCTCATCCAACACACTGCTGCTCCTCCCTGTGAGCCTGCACCAAGCTGAGCATGTGCTGACACACCGTGTCCTCCGCTTACTCCGGTAAACACATGTTCGCCAGGGCCTCGACGTGCTTTGCCCATCGAAGTTCATAAAATGACAGTCTCTATCCCTAAAAAAACTGTTCCCATTTAAATAAACTAAACCTGACCTGAGCCTGTTTATTCATTTCCTCTTCTTAAGCACTGAGTTCAGTTTCAGAAGCCAGTGCACGGGAAGGTTTTTCTATTTCCTACTTTAGGGTATTATTTCTGCAGTGGGCCGTCTGCATACATTCTGTCACTCGTGGGGGTAAGCTGCTTTTACATAAGCTCCTAGGAATCTCTATTTCTAATCTTACACAAATGCATAAAGGTGGTCCTACACAGGCTTCCTGTAAAAGAAAAATAAATCTTAGACTTGGTTTCAATGTTTTTTCCAAATCTCCTTTGCATATAAGGCTTGTTGGGGTGCACATGTTGTGAATACCTGTAGCCATGCATTTTAGATTGCTACCATTTGTCTTTTTCCCTGTGTGTACTGCTTAACAATAGCCTATAAAAACCCCACAAATAAGGCGAAAATGAACATTCCCGTTTTACAGATGAGAAAATTGAGGTGCCAGTTTTCGGGGGTCTGGGAGACGTCACACTCCCCTCCCCCCGGAAGACAAATGCAGATTTTCTTTCGACTTCTAGATAGCATGTTGGTTTGAGTGGCTCGTCATGGTGCCAGGGCTCATTAGAGGAAGAGCTCTACACTGCCTGTCCCTACAAGTGCACCTTAGGGAGCCCAAAGGGCGAGCAGAAACCAAACTCTAAATGCACAAAAACAACACGGCACGCCCCTAGCTTGGAATAAATCTCTCGGGATCAGAAACAAATTCTCATCGGCTTATCTGTCGAAAGCTTTCTCTGAATCATTTACGCACACACTTCGGAACCCCTCTAGTCACGGAGCAGGCAGCGTGGGACCCCAAAGGCAGAGGCAGATGTGGAGAGGATGCTCAGGGCATCCTCCCGCGGGAGCGAGGTGGGCGGCTCTGTGGGACCACAAGGAAACCTCCACCTGAGACGCAACAGCCGCCTCCCCCAGACGAGCTCCCTCACGCTGGCCAGCGTCCTCGGGTGTCACCTGCCAGCGAGGGCCACGCAGTCCTGCCTGGCACTGGCGTCACTCTCAAAACGCCCTGTGCTCTCCCTCCCTTGTGCTCCTTTAACATGGCATCGCTTCAAGTGCCAGTCCATTTTGCCTCTCTATCTGTTTGCATTCTTCCCCCCCGAGACTGTAGATTCCAAGAGGCGAGATGTTTCATTTTCTTCACTCTGGGAGCCCCACCACCCCCAAGGGCAGCAGACACACAGTCAGTGCTAAAGAAACGTTTGCTGGAGGAGGAGGCCAAGGGCTTAGCCACGCCAACACCATCCTGCTTGGGCACAGCAGGCTCATCTGGTCGGAACACACGGTCCTCCTCCACCCTGGCACGCCCCACACCACAGCCGGCACTGGGCCACTCGATCGCACAGCCTGGGCCCTTGAACCCGCCCTGGAGAAGCGAAACATTCCCACTTGCTCAGACAATGTGTCAGCCTTAACACTGTTCATTTAATGGACTGCAAGACATTTCTGTTAGAAAAAAAGAAATCAAAATAGGTGGCAGGAAACTGAGGAGAGCTAAGCAGAGAAGGAAAGTTCAATGTTATGCAGAAGTAAGCACTGCTCCCCCATGAAGGCCAGGACCCGGGGGCTGCAGCGGGGGATCACGGCCAGCCGGCATCAGTAACGTCTTATCAAAGCCCTGTAAGAACGTCCGCCGGAGCAGAGACTCAGGTCCCCCTGGGCAGTGTGGCCTTTCCGGGCACTCAGGAAGTGCGTGATAGGGTCACCTGTGCCTTCAGTCCTGGCTGCGTCTCAGCACAGGATGTGCGGAGTCGAAACTCTTCAAGGGACAAACAGAAGGCACCAGCTTTCCAGAGCTGTGTCGATTTTATGGCCGCTCTGGCTTTCCGAACTGCATCATTTTATGGTCAGGGCCAAGGAAAGGCTGTTCCTAATGGCTGGCCAAACAGCAGCGGAAATGAAGGCGGAAGCGCAGGATTAGAGAGGCAGGTGGAGCATGGAAGAGAACAAGCGCTTCCGCTCAGCTTATGGCCTTGATTCGGCTCAAAAGTATTTCACACATGGCTGCGACACACCCGGCAATGTGACAGGAAGTGATCTGAAAGGCTGACGGTGTACAAAAATGTTTTCAAAAGTTCAGGTCACAGACACAGGGTAAGTTACAGATTGACTGATCTTCACCTTCCTGACCCATGAAGATACCCAGGTTGGCCAGTGAGCTGGAGCGAGGGGGCTGGCCTGCACCACTCCAGGCCAGAGTGTCTGTCAGTGTGCAAACTCGCAAGGCCCTTGGTTGCTCTGCCTAGGGACACTGGACATGAGGCACTGGCTGCTGTGTCGGCCAACATCCTGAAGTGAGGGGAGCTGGGCAGCCTCTCTGCCTGAGCCATTTGGGGCGGATAATCAAGCAGGGAACTGCTGCAGTTACTTGTCACTGCGTCAAAACCTGGCTCATCCTCACGGCTAATGACAACCTCCGGAGGTCAAAACGAAAGAAAGTGATGAAGCCCTTGGAGTAAGAGTAATGTGAACACAGACAACAGCAAAATTGAGTTACTCCAGAACTTCTATTTTTTAAAAAATTACATGTGGTATCCTTTTAAAGAAAGTGCAGAATCAGGAACTCAATTATTTTAAACCAAAACAAAGCAAAAGCTTTCTTTGATGCAAAGACCAATGGTCATTGTTCACAGAAACGATAAATGCAGTGAATCTTACTTAAAGCTTTTCATCTCTCTCCAATTCTGATGGGGGGAGGGTAGGAGAGAGAGAATGGCACTTCATACATGGGAGTGGACCCCGAAGACCAGGAAAAAAGAGGAGAAAACGTTAAGCAGGTAACAAGGACGTACTGACCTTCTGGACTGTCGTGGTCAGGTCCAAGCAAAGCTGAATAATTTTGTTCTTCGTTATTGAGAAATCAGTGATCCCTGTAAATGGTGCCCTAGCAAACAACAAAATTCTGTTAAAATTAAGAAAAGCAAGAGGCAGGGGACCGCCAGGAATCCCACACAGTATGCTGAGAAGCACAGCCACGCAACAGGCTAGTTTACGTGAGTTGATACATATCTTTTCCCTCTCCCATACCACAAAATTGGAATCTACACAGAGAAAAAGTGTGATATAAAAACATAGCCAAATGGAGAGAACGGCCATCCCTCTGGAAGTCAGCTCACAGCCTTCACGCTGACCAAACAGCCCAGCATTAATGTTTAACCTCAGAAAAACATGTCAGTGCAGCTTTCCCCTGCTCCGCTAAGGTTAATGTGTTCTGCTCTTCACCCTTGAAGCGCCTTCCAAAGGGAACGAGCATGCCCACTATCCAGAACTCCTGGAGGGTTCTATGGGAAGGCCCAGACAGGCCAGGGTTCCTTTCCTTGAGACAAAGGGCAGGCTTCTCTGCATCGTGCGCTGTCCTGCAGAAGCTGGTGCCCACACCCCTTCCTTCGAGGGCTGCGAAGGTTCCCCCGACTTACCTGTCCAGCCAGGCTAGCAAGGCCTTGGCCGCACCTATGAGCTCCACCACAGAAGTCAGGAACTCATTGGGGGGCTTGTGGGAGGTGTTCCCGTCGTAAGTGGGGCTTTTCCTCCGGCTGCTTATGTAATTCTGTAAGTTGTGGGAAGAGGCTCGCAGTTTCAGAACCAAGTTCTTCATATTGTCAGTTTCCAGGCCATAATTCTGTAGACAACAGAATCAAGAGAAAAAATGTAAAACCATCGATGATGTCCCAACTTTTGCCACAACTCAGTCTCCTGAGTGACATGATTAACTCCTACAATTGCCGCAAAGCCCTACCCAATTTACCCACAGTGGTGATCTCACCTCTCTGGCTGTGTGGGCTCCTCTCTGCTCCTCCTACAGTCTGCTCCTATCTCAGAACTTTGTCCATGCTAATTCCCCTACAAAATGTGTCTCCTAAAAATTCTGCCACAGGCAGTTCTTTCTTAAGACTTTTATGCCAAATGTCCCCTCCTCTTCCAGGCTTCCCTACTTAGTTTCTCAAGACTGATCCTACTAACCTGAAAAGCCCATCATTTGCTTTGAAAGAGGAAAGATTCCTACACACTGCAAGATGTTCAGCAGCCTCATCCCAGCAGACAGCAGTAACATCCCTTCCATGCTAGGACATCTCTCTCCAGACATTGCCAAATGCCTCCAGGTCACACTCGGCACCTGTCTGCCACCTCTTGGAACCACCTTGCCCGCTGCTCTCTGCCTCCCCTGGACATAAGGTCTGTGGGCGCCAGGCTGTCCGGGTGTGGCTCATGACTACACCCAGCCAGCAGTCATAAACGGTCACTGGAAGGGCGGGCCCTGTCGGGGCCTCCTTGCACAGAACCGAGCGGCCCTGTCAGTTCCCCTGAAGTTAGTTTCACCTGGTGTGAGTGAGTCCCACCTGGGCTCTTTCTGGATCACATTCCTCTTACTTAAGTGTCTTTTAAAACTCAGCTTCATGTCACCACATTGCACTGGACACCCCTTGGGATAAGGAACAAACCCCAGGAAGCCGGTGAAGAGGTGATTTCTTGTCACATGTACACTGCCTACGTGGTGTTTTGTCCTCTAACCCAAAAAAATGGAGCTATCTCTGGGTTATGTGACACTATGTCCATAGAAGCCACTTAAAAGATGTTCTATCATTTAAAGATCAGGAACAATACAGTGTCCGATGCGTCTGAACAATTACTCAACGCCTAGAACTGCAGGTGCTTGACAAGCATCATCTCTGTAGACAGTCTGTGGAGGTGGAAATGATGGCGTCTGATTCAGAGTGGCGATGCCGTAAGAAAGCTCCAGAAGGGCACCGCTCCTCCGGTGGGGGGGGATCTGAGTCAAGCCATCTGCCTGGGCGCACCAGCTTAAGGGGTGCCCCGCTCTACTGAGCCCACCCGGGAAGGGCAAAGTGCAGGTACTAAAAACGGGGTGTGCAGAAAAGGACAGGGGCCCTGATTCTGGATCCAGCACAAACTAACAAGCTGCTCAGCTCCCCAACCGCAGCCCCAACCTCCTGATCCCCTCCTGGAGGGTTCGAAGCTGCTCTCAGTTGGCTTCAGTCTTCCTGGAGCGTGCAGAGCTGAGCGACAGCTGGGCGGTCTCCGCAGCCCCTGCCCCCTTGAGCCTGCATCTGTGGGCCCCCCGCCCCCCGGGAAGAGCGAGGCACACCTCCAAACCAAGATATATACAAAGAATGAGCTTCTTTCTTTGGCAAAATAGACAATAAGTAAGTAATGACAAAAACAACAAAAGACTTGAACCTGAATGAAAACAATGCTACTACCCACACCAGCCGGTCATGGAAACAACTGAAAAGTCCACAGACAGGCGACTGGGTGAAGAGCTGTGCACACTCTGAACACCTCTCAGGTGCTGGAAAACCTGGATAAGATGGATGGGCCTGGAAGAAATACGCCAGGCAGTGCAAAATGATTCACACACTGGCAAAAATAACTCCAGACTCTGAAAATCCAGTATTCACCGGGGGCGGGGGGAGTATCAGCGAGCTTGGGTGGAGAGTGAGTGTGTATACATCTTGGGGTGCAGTTAAACTCCCCAAATTATACAGTTTTATAAATGAAGGCAAATCAAAAAATGTGACTGAGAAGACAATGCTAACTTGAACCAGATTTTCTTTGAAGTTTAAATTCCTGTCGTTCCCTCATAAAATCACAAATACTTTTTCAAAACTAGATGGAGTTAAGTACAAATATAAGGGGGGAAACCTTCCCAGATCCACCCACTGAGAACAATTTGGTAAACTTGAAACAAACTGTAAATTTCATAATAAAAGTGAATTTCTGTATTAAAACGCCCTGTCCTACATAAACTTTGTATTCATTCTTTTTTAACTCGTCCTTTTTTCTAAAGACTAAAATATGCTATTGTCCTTCCACAGAGAAGACGAAAATAAAAAGATGGATTTTCACCATGGCTTTTTAAATGGAGAATCAAAGACTCCAAGTGAACAGAAAAAGGACACAAGACACAGCTCGTTTGGCAGGATTCAGGGCTCTGATTAAAGGGGAAATGTCCCCCTCGTTCAACCAGTTACTCAGCCTGCCAACTTACATCCAGAGTTTTGATCTAAAAAGCAGGAAAGTCAGCTTTCTACAGCCAATGTCACCATAAATTACAGGAAACTTTTATTACTGTACATTGACCCCGTGAACTCCAAGAAGATGAAATGTATTTTAGTGTTGCAAGAAATTTAAAACCTCAAGCCTGCTGCTTTTTTACTGATTAAAATAAAGAGGGAGGTGTAGCTCTTGAGCCATTTTTCAGACAAACCCAATTTGATTTACTTTTCCCAAAAATAGATCACAGAGCTGGAAGGGTGAATAGACGAGGCTATAACAGAGTATGAGGAGCAAAGTTGGGAGGGAAAATTCCATCTCCTTCCCCCTATTCCACAAGGGAAGAGAACAAGAAACTGATTCTGTTAGCACAGAACAAGCTCTACTGTAGAAACAATCAGGAAAGGATTATTGACTTAAATGCCCACAATGAGAGACAGAAAAGGCAATTTCTCAGAGTGGGAGAAAAGGAGAGCGGCAAGGTCCTCCACTTTGGTGTTAAAATTACGCACGTTTTAGCTGAGCACAAGTTCGCTACCTTCTTCTCCCATTTTACTTCTGGCTCATGGCCCAACAGGGCTCATCAAGGTGTATCACGCAGAGTCAAAGTCCTTCCTTGCCTGACTTGGTCAAATAAATTACAGCCTAAGAAATACACTTCACACTTTCCCGAAGGCAGGTAATCGGCTCATCAGCAAGATCAAGTTAAGTACAAACGGCCAGCAGAGACCTCTTCCTGTATGTTGCTCCCCATGAAAAAGAGTCCTATTTTGAATGACTGTCCATGGATCAGTAATCTCAGGGGTACACAGTGCACGAACAGGGGTGCAGACGCTGCAATTATTTCCTTTAATGAGCCTTCAGGTCCCCATTCCAACTCTGGTTTCTCTGCCTACTTCCACCTTTAATACACATGGTCCCAGGGGACTCATGTCTGGTTAATTTGGCAAAGTACCTGGTTACAAGTGTACTCTATTACTCTCATCCCACCGTCTGACCTGATGCTATTCATAGAACTTTCTGTTCTCTGTCTGCTGGTCCTGTGTCCCCTAACCACAGCCGCTATGGAGCTTTCGAAAGGCGGCTAGCAGGACTAAGGAAGTGTATTTTATTTCATTTTAATTTTTAGTAGTCATGTGTGACCAATCCCTATTCCATTGGACAGAGTAGCTCTGAAGTCTATCCCAGAGAGAAAAATCGGGCTCAGGCTCTGAATGCAATCCGGGGCGATAGGCCAGCTGTCCCCCATCACACTAGCCCCTGACCCTCTGCTCGGCCCACTCCAGCCTGCCAAGGTCAGTGTTCACAGAGACTCTCCACCCAGCACCATTGCTGGTGGCGCCTACCTGCTCCCTGGTTTTGCAATCACAGCCAGTAGCTGCTCCCTATTTTAGGCTCCTGCCCATGCTAGCTGTCCTTCTCTTTAAGAAACGTCCCAGTGTTCTGGTCTTGGTCTCCCTCTTCCTTACCTCTAGTTCTATTCATTTCCTGTCCATCATAAAATCAACATCCACTAAACTCAAGTTCACACAAAAATCCATTTTATAGCACCAGAGCCAACTGCAAATACAAATTAACTCCCCAGGGGATGGATGGCTCAAGGCAAAGCATTACCACCAATTTGTAAATGCAAAGATCAAATTGGTGTAAATGTACCGAATAGATAATTAATATAGGTATTAGAGGAAGAATATTTTAACAGGAGATTATATCAGGACCAAAGATCCTCTAGTAAAACTCTCTTAAACTGTCCTCAACCCAGCACAGGCATGTTCAGTTGGGAACCCTCCCGGGACCCTGTCAGATGCCTTCATCGGCACTTCACCACACACACCATATCCAGAACGAGTCTGAGGTCAAAACCGGGGCTACAAAGGAAATTAGAAGGAAATCGTAGCAGATAAAACACAGCCGTAGGCTCTGGCATCTGTCCAGCTTTGTTCTCTTAGTCTAATATGTGAAGCGATGGGGAAGGGCTTGGAGAAGCCAAGAGGCAGCTGCTATTTTCCCAGCTGATGTGCCCAAAGTGTTCTAGTCTGCTCTCTTCCCATGGCTCTGCTGTGAATCTCAAAGTAACTCGAAGACCTAAGGAGCACGCAAAGTGAAAGAGAGGATCCAAGTGAGCAGAATGACCAAGAAGCGATGTTTCCAGAAAGGACAGTGACAATAATCACTTACTGTATGAGACATGTATGATTTTAACAACGAACAGCACTTTCAGACGTCTTCAGGCTGAACCCCACTTGCATGCTAACACGGGGCCACCACCCTCTCCCACCCCCCCAGGAGAGCATCACCGTGCAGATGGGGATAACAGACACGCCATTTCCCTGAGGGTTAACGCTTGCAGCAAAGCCAGGAACTGAGGCAAGAAGCCTGTCTCCCGAGCCAGCACTCACCCCACTTGGCCACCGAGTCTCCCCAATGGCAGCTCATTTATCAACCACAAGTAACTTCCCCCGTTACTTTCCTAAACAAGAGCAGCGCATCCCAGCGCAGAAGACAAGGCTGTGTCCATTTTAAGAAGAAGAATACACACCGCCCAGCAAGTGTTATATAATCAACGGAACGCAGACCAGTAATGGCAAAATAATCGGGAGCACATTCTTTCTCACCATTCTCAGTGATGTAATTGTATATACCCCTGGCTCAGGTTCACGGCATGACTAAGCCAGTCTGAAACCACGGAGTCTGTCTGCACCCAGACAGTCGGGAAACTGCATCCTTAGGACGGCACCATGTCGCCAGACGTAAGCCCCAGCCTGTGCCAGCAGTTGGTAACCCCAAACCCTTGCAAGCGCTCACCCCTAAAAGGGTTACCCACACAGCCACAGGTGCCCCCGAGGTCAGACGCCGGCAGGACTGATCTCCCATTCAAGCCAAAGTTCAGTCATCTGCAAAATGTGCATTCAGATTTTTCCCAACATTCCATGGGCTGACTGTCTCAAGCACAGTTATTTGAATATAACCTGTTACTGTAAAACTCAAATGCTCTTTATAGTAATGAAAACAGAACTGAAAATAAAAGCCATTTCACGTCAATTGAGAAAATGACATTTTCACTCATCTCCAAATTTTTATTCTTTAGAGGAGATAAGAAAACAAAACCAACCCAGTCTTTTTCTGTAAAAGACAAATTCTTTCTCTAAAGGGTAAAGTAAATAATTTAGGTCTGGGGGGAACACAGGGTCCCTGATACCACTACTCAACTGTATTGCTGTTGGTAAGGATAACCACAGACATATGGAAATGAATGGGTAGGGCTGTGTTCCAATAAAACTTTATTTACAAACCAGACACTGGGTCAGTTGTAGCTCGCGGGTTAAAGTCGGCCCCACTCAATCTAGAAAATACTTTGCTCTCTTCCCTTCTTACATCACATCCAGTTTATGCTTCACTTCAAAGAGTCTTTAAAAATACGGGAAGAAGGGGATTGCAAATGAGATGGAACAATGCACAAAAATATGTAAAAATAAACTACTATAAAATGTTTTTTTTTAATGACAGTAAAATATATATATATATGGGAAGGGCCCTCCCTGGTGGCACAAAAAGATTAGGATGCAGCACTGCAAGCTGGCTGCAGCAGCTTTAGTGTGTGTTCGATCCCAGCCCCGGAGGTGACCCACAGGGTGCAGCAGACCTCTCCTGACCCGCCCGCTGCTCCCCTCAGCAGTGTACTTTGTCGATCTGCCTATACTGCTCCCCACTCTGTCTCTGGTGACTCCTCTCACCATCCCTGCACCTCTGGCCTGTGCCCCAGTTCTGTGGGCATAAATAAAGAAATTCTTATTAAAAATTAAATTTAAGGGGCCTTCCCTGGTGGTGCAGCGGGTTAAAGCACAGCACTGAGAAGCTAAAGCCACTTCAGCATCAGTTCGATCCCCACCTGCCCCGGAGGTGACCACATGGCGTGGCAGACCTCTCCTGACCCGCCCACTGCTCCCCTCAGCAGTGTACTTCGTCGATCTGCCTGTTCTGCTCCCCACTCTGTCTCTGGTGACTCCTCTCACCATCCCTGCACCTCTGGCCTGTGCCCCAGTTCTGTGGGCATAAAGAAAGAAATTCTTTTTAAAAATTAAAAAGACACGCTAAACAGCAATAAGGATTGAAGGGAGTAGGGTTTCCAGCAGAGACAGCTCCTTCCTGAACTAACCAGTGCACAGAGAAGGTCCACAGCCTCCAACACGAGCTCCTGGTGCCCGATCCTGGTGACACCCAGCTCCTCGAGATCCTGGTGGGAAATCTGCAGCAGCTGTTCCCCGTTTATCTTCTCCCGCTCGAACTTGTGGACATACTGCTGCAGGCAATCATCCAGCCCTGCCAAAAAAGCAAAACAGGCCATAACTATCATTTCGTTTCCTTGACTCAAAGAACGGCCCAGTGTCAGTCAGTCTCAGGAGTCACCAAACAGGCACCCTTCTCTGCTGAGCATGTTAGGCGCACATCATACTAACATTGCAAACAACCTGCAAGTTTGTCCTCAACTTCTCATCTTAAATTCAGATTCTAAATGCACCCCCTAAGATTTTCAGCTGGACCCGGCACAATTTTAGGATGGACACTTTCCTGTTCTCTTTCAACTAAAAGAACAAACACTGAACCCTGCTGACTTGAAACACGAGTTATCACACTCAACACAGGTTTGTCTGTCTGTGAAGTGGCTATTCCCTTGGGACACCAGCTCTCTCCCAGTGGGAGAAGGGGTTGGGGGCAGAGAAAAGAGGGGAGGCTGTCCCCATAATATCCTGTGCGCTCCTAGATCTAACCCCACTTAAAAATAGTTCACCCCCAGATTTTATTCACTCAAATTGAAAGAAATTCTTTTCTGAGCTTAAGCTTTCTTATGTTGAGTTTCTGCCCCTTGCAAAAAAAGTTCTGATGAATATAGAAACCAACAAAGACGGCACCAGCAGCAGAACCAGAGAAAAGCCATGGAAATTGGGTTAGCTTATGGGAATTTTTCCAGGTCAAACACTACTGCCAACGGAGTTGTATTCTAAGACTCTTATATAATGATTAAATTAGGTGAGCCAAATAGAACTCTGGAATCTTTATTCCAGCAGTGCGAAGGCTCCTGTCAACTTGTTTTCATGGTTTTACTGTAATAAAAATTTACCCCGAATCAACTAATCTATTCAAACATTATAATAAAAGCCACCTTCGTGTTTTAAAGGTTTATATAAATTCAATCCTAACATAATGGATGAAAACGCAATTAAGCTAGAATAAAGGATCTGGCCGGCATGCTGCTGTCCCATACACACTCACACACACACACACGAACACGCATACACACACACGAACACGCATACACACACGCACGCACGCACGCACTCACTTCATTTGCCCCGTCACAAAAGCTCTGCTCTGTGGGTGCTCTGAGTAAAGAAAGTGGCCACAGGGCAACATTACTTTTGGTAATAAGTCCAGGATTTTAAAATCTGACCTCCTGGGACAAAAGACAGCTCTGTCCACAAACTTCATTTGCCTCCTGATAAGACCCAGAGCGGAAGACTTTGCTGATAACCATTGGAAGCCACCAAGCGACAGGCAGAGGAGGAAGGAAAACATTGACCACCAGCCACCGACTGGAACCAGTCCCTCCTCTCTGAAGACAAGTGTGTCTGGCAGAGGGGGGGCTCTGTCCCAGAGCAGGCGGGACCCCATGTCAGCCATCTCTGAGAGCCCCATGCCACAGTAGCCTCTGTGTGTGGAATTTGGCAGGAGAGAAGGCCGGCCGGCCAGCAGGTGCCGAGGACCCATTCCCACCTGGCCAGGACATCCCATACAGGGTGCCCCGGGCGGCCTGAGGAGGCAGTAGCCCTACACAGGAGACAACAGTGACAGGGTGACAGGGCCCAGGGCCAGGAAAGCCGCTGACCACCCTTCACTCTTTAGAGGTGGAGCCATGGGGGCTCGGGCAGGCAAGTGACCTGTCCACAGTCCAGAGCTGGCATGACACCAAGAGAAAGATTTTTATAGCCATTTCCTTCAAGTTGACACAAAAAGAAGAGTTTGAATTCAAACCAGGGTCTGTTGACAGAAGCTCTGTTCTACAACACAGCTGCTGACATAGAACCACAGAAATACAGAGGGCGTTAGGAGGCACCACAGGCCTCATGGAGATCCAAACACTGCAGAGGATGGACAAAGGGCTTATTGTGAATTTTTTTTTTTTAAACTTTAATCATTTCAGTTTGGAATCAGTCTAGTTACGACAGCATTTTTTTTTTTTTAAGATTTATTTATTCATACAGAACTGGGGTACAGGCCAGACATGCGGAAGGTGACAGGATTTACCAGGGACAGAGTGGGGAGCAGAAGAGGCAGATCGACAGAGTACACTGCTGAGGGGAGCAGCGGGCGGGTCAGGAGAGGTCTGCCGCGCCATGTGGTCACTTCCGGGGCAGGCGGGGATCGAACTCATGCGGAAGTGGCTTAAGCTTCTCAGTGTTGTGCTTTACCCCGCTGCACCACCAGGGAGGGCCCCTATTGTGAATTTTAACCTAGGTCACTTCATCAGGTCTAAACCAGCTCATAACCAATATCCTATGTTTCTCTTCAGCAATCCTCTTCCTTTGCATTAAAGGAAAGCACTTTTAAGCATTAAAAAAGGATTTTTGTTTGAATGTGTTATCAAAGTTTAGGTCAACTCAATTGTATATTTAACCTTGTGATGACTGAGTTGTTCTCTCCAACATTCCTAAGTTGAAGTCATAACCCCCAGAAGCTAAGGACATGACTGTATTTGGAGAGGGCATCTTTAAAGAGGTGAATGAGTTCAAATGAGGACCTAGGGGTGAGTCCCAGCCCAGCAGAATGAGCCCCTTCTAAGAGGAGGTAAGAGGAGGTACACAGAGAGGCCATGAGAAGATACAGGGAGAAAGCGGTTATCTACATATGCAGAGAAAGCAACCCCCGCCCCATGCGAAGCAAGGACCGAGGACCAGGAGAATCACATTCACATTGACTGCACCCCACAAATCCATCACTCAACATACAAGCGCATGGTGGGTAAGCCATCTCAGCTCCCACGAGCAGGATAAATCAGTCCACTCAAGTTGAAGTCAGGACACCTTGTACAAAGGATGTTCATCCAACATCATCCCTGGATAAGAGGTAGAAATAAAGATGGAGCCAGGCGTTCCTTTCATTCACTGTGAAAACTTCACTGAGAGACAGGACTTCAGAAGTAGCTTCAGAGAAGTAAGGAACTGTTTGGGGAACAGAAAAGGATGAGAGGGAAGGTCCAATGAGGGTTCTAAAAAGGATGAGGTTTATACATGATCCAAGGTTGAGAACCTGAAGAAAACACCTTCCTGGAAAGGGTCCAGAACCTTCCTGAGGCTCTAAAGGAGTAGGGCTGACTAACGGTGAATCATCAAAGCCCCGAGGGTGAATCATCAAAGCCCCGAGAGGTAGAAGAATAATCAAATTAAATGATTCTGCTATTTTCGACCTAAAGAACAGAGGCAATAGTGCCTTCAAGACCTTCCCCTCAAGGGACACATTCTCAAAGAATATGTATTACTAAAGAGTAATGTGCCCTTATTATTCCAATACATCATGGCCTATTGTTCAGTTTCACTATTGTTCAGAATACAATTGAACATTTATAAACAGCTAAATTAAACTGTCGTGTGAACCCAAGCACCCAAGGGAGGGAAAATCCCCAGTCTTAAACTCAGGAGTTAGACTTTGCAGCAAACCACACACTTTCACCCATTTGTCAAACAGACCTATTCGCTAGTTCCTTGTCTCAAGGACTAGCAGCTCAGAGCAAAGCCACCCAATAATAGGAGATTAAACACACTTCATTTACACAAATTAAACACATAATTCAGCATAAAAGAATCATGAGGGGAAAGGCAAGGGCATCCCCCAGAATGGAGGCCACAGTGTGAGAGAACCCAGACTTCCTCCACTGTCAGGAAAGTGGCTGCCCACAAGCCTGACCTTCCACAGGAACCCCAAATGTGAAAAGGGGAGAAAGAACTCTCTCGCCCCAGATGGGGAAAGTGAGGGAAATGAAGGGGTGAGGGGCCTGTGTTCCAAGCCCAGCCCCATGTATGGCGAACGAGGTGCCCAAGGCCAGGAGCTCATCCCCTCAATGAGGGGTGTAGTAATCATACCTACCACAAACACCGGTAATAAAAATTCAGAGTTTGGTAAAGAGTTTAAAATGCCCTGAAACGCACAGTAAATACTGCAGGTATTTCGTTAAATAAAATGTCATTTATGATTTATTTTGGTTCTCAGTGCTCTAATTATACAAATAAAAACTGCCAGACACACCAAGACTCCCAAAAGTTTAGGGAGCCCCCTGTGGAACAAAGTAAATTGGACATAAAACATAACCTCAGTAGCTCACGTTATTACCTCCCCCAGAAAACTGCCCAAATCTGGGAGCTGCATCCTCATCAATTCCACCTAAACGTATTTGAGAAATGACATCGGAATAAAGCACCATGAAAGCAGAGCTCCCTCTGTTCACTGTTTATCCCCAACACCTACAGCATGGCTCAAACTCAACAGTATTTGTGAAGTAAAGAAATGAGTTGCTGAAGAAAGACTAAGCCCTTCACCTAAAGATTAATGTCACACCAGAGCACATGTCACCTGACTTTATTCCAAGCAAGTGACTCACAATAATGAAAGAACTGATTGTGATATCAGTTACAAGAATTTGCTGCTGCAAGTTTCAATGTTTCCAGATTAAAGAAGGTCATGTCTACCTTACAAGAGAGATATCACAAACAAAGTAAACCCCCCCTTGTGACAAGACATTTGCTCTGTGCTAAGAATTAGTTGTTAGTAATTAATCTCAGCAAAATGTGGGAAACATTGTCTATCCCCAAATTAATAATTTGGAGTAAATAATGGAAAAATCTAAAACTATTCCCTTTTCTAGACTGACTAGCTCTTTCAGGGCGAGTGAGACCCACTGGGAGGAACTTCAGGTTGCTGTGTTTTGGCCTCCATGGGTCCCAGTTGGCAAAATCTCTAATTCTGCGGCCTCCCCAGTGGCCTAGGGGTCGAGTCTTGGCACCATCACCCCTAGGAGCTGAGTTCAATCCCCAGCCAGTGAGTGACCCACACAGCACAGCACACTAGACCTCTCCTGTCTCCCCTTCAGCCGTATACTGCAGTGGATCCAACTGTTCCGCTCCCCACTCGTCTCTGGTGAATTCTCTCACCCCCACCCCAGCCCTGGCCTGCACATTTGATCACTAAGGCATGTTTTAGCCAAAGAGCTTTCTTAAAGGAATGTTTTTGATTCAGAAATCCATTTAGCCAAAGCTGGTCAGTTCACATCT